CAGGGAAGAATTTTTCCACTGTCTTTATGGCCTTGAGTTTAGGAATTGATTAGTTGACTCTTCCACCTATGGAGGAAGCTGTAAGTTCACTGCCTACTTGGAATTAAAGCAAATTCAGCTTTTAGGCGCTGTTTCTTGAAGTTTGTAGAGGACTACAAAGGGTTTATAAAAGGCAACTATTAAGGTTATCACCAGTGTTTTAAGACAGCTATCAGAAAATAACTCATAAATTTTTCAGAGCAAATGCAGTAAAAGGTGGCAGCAAGTCCTATATGAAGATTGCCTGAACCCTTCCACTCCCAAATGTTTCTCTATTGTTTACAGCAGAAATCTGACCATTATTTGGGATAGTACTACTTCCAAATATTTTTTTCAGCCATATTGTAAGCAATTAAAAGAAATTATTTTCATTCATCTTACTTTTGAATATTTCGGCAGATTTTTATCTAGTAGGGAGGTTTAACAATATTAAAAGACAAGAAGATCACAGGAAGATGCACTTAATTTTTCCATCTTTTAAAAGTAAAAAAATATTAAAATTGTGATTTGTAGAATCATTTTTTATAATGGCAAAATTGTGTGTATTTACCTTACATATGGAATGGCTCATTATTAGATCAATAAACAGGGGGAGTGCGGGTTGTATATTTTAGCCATATGGAAGCAGTGCAAGAGCTATTTAGGTAACTCAGTAGGTTAAAACAATTATAATACACTTCATAAATCACAAGCAAACAAGATATTTTAGGGAAGGAGCGTGACGGATGAGGTCACCAGATATACAATATGTCATTTAGTTAACTTGAGCCCATATTTTTCCCATAATGTAGTAGATGAACTCATTAGTTAGAATGAAAAACAGCAAGGAGGAGGCATCTGGCTTCCAACTGCCTGTTTCTGACAGGGTTAAGATCACTAGATCTAGTAATGATTCTGCTTTGTCTACTGACATGGCCTTGTGCTGTAGAAAACTGATGAGGTTTGCTGAAAATTTAGTGTCTTACTGTCACAGTGTTAGAACGTGGACAGATGCAATCAGTTGTGGCTTTGTTTCTGTTCATGTTTACCATTTTGCTAAGTCTATTTAAGTATTTAGGATTTTCATAAAAGAATAGATGCTTCTGGTTTAAGATTTTTCTAAATCACTTCATGAAGTAGTATTCATTTCTGCATTTGCAAGGCAACAGAAATTCTAGGACATGGCGTAAAAGAATAGAGAACAGAACTTATGGATATGTAGTTTTATAACTAAAACTGGTCAGGTTTTGTGCCCTATGCTAATAACAATAATGGTAATAATAATGTTGATCCAGAAGGTCTTATAATACATCTTTACAGCCATATTTATGTGGATTTCACATATCCTAATTTGCTAGGATTCTTATCTGAAAGGCATTTAAGAAGTCTTATCAGTTTTGAATTTATTTTTTCTGAAGACACAAAAACAAATATTTTAAACCATTATTCATTTAGCTTGTTTGATGTTTTAAAAATGAGGGTTAATGCACTAGTGCACTTAGTAGTTTTTAGATATTGTTATTCTATGTGATAAATCAGACTGAGCTGAATTGCTTTCATGCAGCATATTTGTATTAAGTATTGGAGGCGCAGTAAGAAAAGTAAAGATACAAATCTGATTTTTGTGGAAATCAAGTATCCATACAATTTCCCAAATATAGAACAACTCCCTTTAGTATTTTTGCCCTAAATCCTTTCAGTTAGCATTATGTATGTAGCTTAATAGTATGTCATATTGAAATGTTTTGCCCACAAATATATAATTTTACTTCCATTTTTAGGGTCAAATGGTGTAGGCCTCCCAGCATTTTATTTTCGTTTGGGAACAAAGGTTTGCAAGTCACCTGCTGAGTAATCAAGTACAGTTCTATTTACAGCATCTCAAAATTAGTTCTATTTTTTTTAACTTGCTATGCTGATTGGAAAACTTCTCCATAACCTTAGTTATATATCGATGACTGTCACTTTGCAAACTAAAACGTATATTGTGGTTTTGCAGTGTTTTTCTCATGCCAACCCTGCCTTTTTTTTTTTTTTAGTTTTCATCTACAGCTTGTTGTATAACTTCTCAGTATTAGTTTGGCCAGACTATGTCAGCCAAACTCATTTCTGCAACAGTAGATTGCTGTGCATCTCCATAGTGGCACTTGCAGATTTCTCAAATATAAATGTGTACACAGTATTCCATAATGAATCCTTCCAGAGCCTTCTCTAATGCTGTTAATGCTTAGCTGTCACAGGAACTATTTATTCCAAAAAGTTTGGAGCCACATTTGCCTTTTCTGTGAGAACATTGTATTGGTAGCTAAATAGTTACCAAGTAATTGGTGTATCCAAGTTCTTCTCTTCAGACATTTACAGAAGATGAATTCCATTTATAATGGGAAGCTCTGTGATCTTCTCTAGATACAAAGCTTTCCATTATTAAATGTAATTTTCAATTCTGCCATAATACCTTCTTATAACTGTGCTTCTGTGACCATCAGTTGTACTTCATAATTTTGTCATCAGCAAATTTCACCACAATGTTTTTTTTCACCTGAAACCTATTAAAAATTTGAACAAAATAGCTCCCATAGTAGTTTCTCTCAGTCTGATGAGTTTTTTTTCTTTTTGCTTGAAAGTAACTGATGGCTCCTTCTTATCCAGTTTCTTTTCCCACATTCTAATAATTTTCAGGGTCTCATGACTAAATTACAATCTGTTGTGACAACCCCAGCTTTACTGAATTTACTAAATTGACCCTTACTTTCTCTGAAGTATAGGTATTTAAAAACTCACTTAAGAAAATAATTTTTTTAATCTCATTGCATTCCATTACTATTCTTTACTCCAAAAAAAATCCTGAAATCTTGCTTTCTGTTGAAGGCTTGCAGTTGTCCAGCTAATTTTTTTCCTGTCTCTTAAAAAGAGAATCCTTGTATGGTTTTCTCTAGTGATGTGTTACTATCTCCAGTCATCTGTTTGGCAAAAGTGCCAGAATTTCGGCTACTAGACCAGTAATATCATGCATGGTAATATCATGGATGTTTCTTTCAAAATTGGCTTGGAGTCAGTTCATTCCAACAGATTTTAAAATCTTTCTTCTGGTTTACTCAAGGTAGTTGAGTTTCCACAACTGTATTTCTGTCAGGTTTTCTGTCTTTAGTTTTCTGTTCAGCACTGTTGACCTTAATGAAAATTGAGGTTGGGTGTGACCTAGTTTCACCATGTAGTGGACCATCGTCTTTTTTCAGTGCCCCCTTTTCATTTCCATAATAATGGAGCCTTATGCCATTTTATTCACCATACATTTCATGGGCAACAACCTGCTTTACTGGCTGTCCCAGTATAATCTTCCCTTCAGTTGAGAGGTGTTGTCTTTGTATGGATGGAGTTTAAAGAGACAAGCAGAAAATTCATTAGGATCATTCTGTGGATCAGATGTCTTTCTGTGCCAAATATAGGCAGTACTAAGTAGATACGGATCTTTTTGCTTCCTGACCTGGCAGATGCTAAATGCATTTGATGCAGTTCATAAATCCAGTTTTTACTTCCTGCTTCACAAAGAAGAGCTCATATCTATTTGATAAGATGTGTTTAAGGCACTTAAGAGAAAAAGGAGGAGGATGTGGCTTCAGTGTTTATGGCTGTTAAAAGAAGAAAACAATGCTCCTTTATAATGGCTGATTCTCCTTCAACTTTTTAAAAGCCTCTTCTGTTCTTTCTTAATACTTGTAAATAAGCAGAGGTTTACATGACCATTAGTTCAAACACATAAATAATCTCTTACAGATTTTTTTTTTATGTGCAGATGCATGTACCCCCACTTATGCCCATATGCTAAATATGTATTTTTTACCTGACTGTACCAAAAATCAATAGTGAGTTATGAGATTGTTATTAAAGTTACATTTCTGAAGTACATTTTTTTTGGTAACAGAGCTTCATTCAAATACATGATAAAATATTTCCTGTAATATCTAAACCACTATATCAGAGCCAATAAAATAGTGTTCTTATTTCATACACAGTACAACTAAATTTTATAATCAAGACAAGTAATTAATGAAAATAATGTAGTTTTAAAATAAACTTAAAAAACATTTTGTAAAAAAAAAAATACCCAGTTTGTTTTTCTCTAAACAAAAGTATGAATGTATAAATTTCTCACAACTCTAGACTTTTGTCTAAGCATAGCGAATTATTCTTATTTAATAAAGATTTTCAATCTGTTTCACTGAAGTAATTAATAGAAGTACGGTCTTCTCGGTTACAAGATGTTGTAGAATCCTTTTCAATCTGGAAATGTTCCAAACTCAGCAGATTTCACTTGCCTATCTCTATGAAGCTATAGTTATTTTGTTCATTAATTTGTTCCTGAATTACAGAATTTTACCTTCTGTGGGAAAAGAAGAGGTATCTAAAAAGTCAAGAATAACACTTTATTTTTCATGTATAAATTAATCTGTATTCAGTGCAATGATATGTGTGTAGAAATGTGTGTAATACACATTTTAAACAAAACACAAAGCAAACAAATAGTCTAGCAGTTATCTTTTGAATTGAAGCTTAATATTTAATGACACCAATACAAAAGAATAAATTTTAAAGTTAACTGAAAGCATAAATTATTGCAATTTTGCCTTCTAGTAGACACAAGGGTCAAACAATTCTTCAGTTGATAGGTTATAATTTTTAATGGTTTTTTTTTGCTGGCAGTATTTTGCTGTTTGATTACTATGTGAGTAGTGGGCTGTAGTTTCTAAATGTCACTGAGTTTGTATAATGTGATTTTGGGCTCACTTTTCCAAGCCTGTCTACATGCCAAACAGCTGTTGAAGGGAAAATGTTTTCTATGTAGAACGAGTTTTTAGGGTACATGGTAAAATACCATGATATGTGGTCTTTCTAACACATTTCTGTCATATAAAACCTTATGATCATATTTTTAGGGGAAAATACCAAACTAAATTTTGTTCATAATCTCTATTTTGCTGCAGAGACACCAACTGTATTTCCAGAAAATATCAAAGATAAAGAAACACCAACACCGGTTGAAGATATTCAGCTGGAAAGTTCTATTCCTCACACAGATTCTGGAATTGGAGATGAACAGATGCCCAGTATTTTGAATGGGACAGACTTAGAGACCAGCACAGGTCCTGATGCTATGAGTGAGCTGTTGTCTACTTTGTCTTCAGAAGTGAAGAAATCTCAGGAGAGCTTAACAGAAAGCCCCAGTGAAATTCTGAAACCTGCATCTTCAATATCCAGTATCAGCCAAAGTAAAGGAATCAATGTCAAGGAAATACTGAAAAGTCTTGTGGCAGCCCCTGTTGAAATTGCAGAATGTGGCCCGGATCCAATCCCTTACCCAGATCCTGCACTGAAGAGAGAAGCTCAGGCTATTCTTCCCATGCAGTTTCACTCATTTGACAGGTATATAGTTAGACTCGTTATTTTATATTGATGTAATTCAGAAGTTTCAAGGGCTTTTATTTCTTCAGGAAGGTTATTCTACTTTTGGTTTGTATTAAAGAATGTTAAAAACAACTGCACTGTGTTGCCCTTTCTGCATTACCAACAGATCACGTAGTGTAGACAAAAGTAATTCACCTTGTTTTTCTCTGTCAGTGAATAAAACTCTATGAAGTACTTGGAAAACAAGCCTGTTGCAAAGAAATACATGTGCAATAAAATCTTTTTTTTCTTTAAAACAGCATTTTAGTGAGAAGGAGGAGGGGTAATATCTGCTGATAAAGAACAGATTGTGCAGAAATTCAGCTGAATATTCTTTCAAAGGCTTAAATCTAAATTGGATCCATCACTGAACTGTTTTCTGGTACTGAAATGCTTTGACCATGGCAAATTGTTTTCTTGGTCATGGTAGAAACCAGTTTCCTTTTAGGTCTTTAAAAAACAGAAGTTGTTAAAGCTCAAAAGTTAGTGCTTAAAACTAAATTCATGAACATTTCCATGAAGAGTCTTTTGTTTCTTGGGCTGTATCTTCCTAGTTTCTAATTAGTATACTTGCCTTTAAAAGTCCAGTCCCTCTCAGTTATCCTGAGCATAGAAATTGTGATGTTGTGCAGTTCTCAGCATCTTTCCAGAAGGTTAGTCCCATCCACTGAGAGTTTAGACCTAAGTCTTGTGAGTGTTGATGTGGTTGTCTTTTCCATCCTTTCAGTTTCTTCATAAAAATGTTTTTAAAATGTTAAAAATAGAATCAAGACTTGAAGATAATTTAAGACATGTCTTGAAAACCTAATATATTAGTTTATCAGGCAGTTACAGGAGATAAAATACTGAAGGAAATAAATAAGGCAGAAAATAGTTATATTGTGATTTATTTGGAAAAAAATTCTGTATTTACAGCACACCCTAATGTTTTTTATGTAAGTACTAAGGCTGCTTTTCTGAAATAATTCAATTAACAATCACATAGTATCTGTTGTAAGAAAGACGATTTTATCAAGATAGGAAAGGTGAAATATACTTTAGAAGCAATGAATATATCCCTTTTTAATAGTATTTTTAGGTCTTAAGACTTTTTTAGGGAAAGCTCATTTAAAGAGCTTTTTTATTAAGATGATTTTTTATTTTTTTTTAGTTCATCAATCTGCATATTTTCATTTTAGATTGATTTCAATAAGAAGTGAATTTTTTTTTTTCTACCTATACAGTTAGGAATTTTTCCTTATCCTCTATGAGAAACCACTTTATTCCAGAATGCATTCTGGTACTTTAAGCAGTATAAAACATCATGCTACATATAGAAATAATCACACTTTAACTGTGATCAGCAAAAAAGGTTACTTTATCTAAATTTCTACCTGGGTTAATAAGAAAAATATTTCATCCAGAGGGCTCTGGTTGATTCACAAAATGCCAGACACCTAAATTAAAAGGAGCACATCACCTCATGAGATGTCTTTGTCACTGTTAGAGGGAACTTGACATCAAGGTGATTGAAGACATGGATTTTACTCTGCATTTCTAAATTATAGCTCCATAAGAAAGCATTAAGAACTCCAAGGGTCTGCATTTGGTTGGCCATAACCTTTATTTAATGGGAACACCTCCATTTAATTGCTCCTGCAACAATGTGACTGCTTGTACCTCTTGAACATCATTTGTAGTAGTAGTAGACAATATAGAATTATGAAATTATTTAAGAGGTGCCTCATGTCTAGGGCTTATAAATTTTGATAGATATTTCATACTTAATAAGTTTAGCAGCTAATGAGTTTAGTGGTTTGTTTTTTCCCTGACCTGTTACTCTGCTGATCAAGTTTCATTATTTCCTGTACAAATTGCACCACTCTGTTTGTATCTTAGTAGCCTACATTGTATATGTCAGCCTTTGGAATCGTTCACTTCTTCAGGAAAAAAGAAAGTGTTAATGGGTGTTAATTGTCTAATTTTTAGACAAAATACTTTACATAATTTTTTGGTGGGTTATTTTTTTTTCCTCTTAAATAAATGATCCTGCTGTCTGATTTTGGTTAATGAGGTAGATGATGATTTTTAGTATAACCAACAGCTATGAAGGGAAAAATGACAGGTTCAGGCAAGTCCAGCAGAATGGGAAATGTTGCATTCTTTTATCCAACTAAATAAATGTTTTTGAACTGTGGGTATCTTGATAAAAATACAGATGTAGCCCACAGGACCTCAACTGACTGGTTACACTTCATGGGTCTATTATTGAATGATGCCCTCTATTCAAGCAAGTATTCCTCTGTGCAGACTTTTCATATTTCCAGAGTACTTACTTGACCACTGTGACAATCCTTGGATGGTCATGGTGTTACTTTTCCAAATTACAAAGGTGGAGCAGATTCAGATCCTGATCCTATAACTTTTCATGGGGGATGAAATAAGGGTTAGGGGGAAAAAAAACTTGAATAGTATATTGAAACAGTAGCTGAAGAAATTTAAGTATTAATTGAGAAAGCAGCATGAATTTTACCTAGTGGTGATTTCTGAACATTTTATTTCCTGTAGTATCCCAATAATTTGGAAAAGTGAAAAAAAAAAAATACAGCAGGATTGTCTTTCCATACTTGCTCACGTAAATGAAATTGTGTTTACTAATATAAAATAACAGTTAAATAAGATAAACTGGTTTGTTTTTGTTGTTTTTTTTAAAGCTAAAACTATGCCTATAAAGCATATTTCTGTAGGCTCTTGTGTTGCTGTAGTTTATGCAGCTTTTGGTACTTCACAGAGCAATGTGGCTGTTGGTCATCTTTATTGTCCCTGAGGAGAACCATGAGCAACGGAGGGTATTGTTTTGTCAGGTTCTATTTCTTTCAGGTTTTATAAAATAAGCACAGTGATTCCATATTTATAAGCAAATCTAGGTTAGAGAAATGTATTTTTCACATTAATCTGAAGATATCCCTTAGTCCTTATGAGGCTAGTTTTTTTGTTTTTTGGGGCTTTTTTTGCATTTGGATGTCTGAGTGCCTAGCAAAAGAACACAGTTGAAGTAATTTTCTTTAATTGTGATCACGGATGAAGGTAAACACCATGTACAGTAAACTCCTGTAAAGATCTTGAAATTAAGAACTGTATTTTAGCATTTACTACGACATGTTTTGCTCCCCATGTTCTTCTAATTACACATTGCTAATGTGTCTGTAAGAGTTATTTTGTAACAGGCTACCGCCTATTCTCCCGTGGAATTTGCGCAGTTGTAAATGAAACATAAAAGCAGAAAAAGTGCCCAGCATGTTTTATCAAATGGGAGCTGTGTGTAGCTAATGTATGCAGCAGTTCAAGTGCTATCAAATGTAAATGATGAGGTGATATTGATGAAAGGAGGGGATTGAGGTCTCGGGGGGCGCTGATGACGGATTGAACAGAAGCGGCCTTGCGCCGCACGTAACTCAAGTCTGTCGTCTTCACCACTCAAAGCCGTAATGGGAGGTGGCAGTCTGAAATGAGTTGCCACGGCAAAGAGTATTATTTTTGAAATGCTTTCACACAAATCACTAGGCCCTGCATACAACTTAGTTTCATGCTTTAATGTCATCAGGAGGCACAAATTGGTGTGTCTAATTGTTTGCCACCTGCCAGCAAAATGAGCTGCCAGGCAGCCAGACGGGTTTGATTGTCTGTCAGCTCTTCAATAGATTGAGAGTGACAACATCAAAAATTTCACTTCAAACTCTGAAGCTTTGAGCAGCTTTTCAGAGACCTCTTCCCCACAAGTGCTTCTGGACAACTGCATTTTTCAATTAGTTTTCAATATATTGCTGCCTTCTGCCTCATCTGTCTTAAGGTAGCTGTAATTACATTATGAGCTATATAAACAGATTTCTGGGACACAGAAGCCTGGATCCTCAAAGTTATGACATGTCTTTTAACGTCAGACCGAATTTTTTGAAAATGGCATCCAGGTTGACATTTTTAGAAGCAAACACAAAGGGTTATTTCACCTAGATTTGTGACTAATGGAGCATAACTCACCAATAATACCTTTTTGCCTTCTCATCTTTTGTCTGACAAAATTCAGTCGCTTTTACTGATTTTTAGGGTTTGGGGATTTCTTGTTTCTTTTTCGCTGGTAAATTTGCATTGGTCCCACTAGATGCAACCTAGACCATTAGGGTTTTTGAATTTGTTTGTGATTATACTCACTTTTGCATTTTGAAGCTTACACTTGTTCATCTCTATTTTTTTTCTAGTAGAGATTTCTTAGATAGGTGCTATTATTGAAATTGAAAGTGCTTGTGGCTTTCTGTCTCATTTTTTCAAACTGAGGTAATTTACGTGTATATTTTCTCTTCTTAGAATTATTTCAATGGGAAAAATGCTTACATAAGCAGAAAATCATGAGTTCTTAGAAATTAAAAGATCAGTTATTTTTACTGCTATTAAAGATGTGTGTCCATTTTAATCCATTATCATTTCCTAAATGGGAAGAGTGTAGGCTTGCTTAGTTTACTTCTTGGTGAAGTCTTTAGAAGGTATTTGAGAATATTTTGGAGAACACATCTTTGAAGTATTTTAGTTTTGATTTTTGCAGGTTTTTGGGGTTTTTTTCCTCCTGACAGAAGGACCTTGCAACCAGTTTTAAAGGTGCTAGAAGAGGTGGACAACTTGTGAGATCCAGTCAGGTCTCATAAATGTCCTTCTCATTAATACAGAGACAGGTGGTCTTCAGAAATATGTTTAATTTTATGTAGGTATGCTATATTTAGATGGATAACTTAAGAGAATCTATGTGTTTTGCTAGAATACAGCAGTGGGATGTTATTTTTTTCTTTTTTTTTTTTTTCTTTTTTTTTTTATAGTAAATGATAGAATGGGAAAAGACAAGAACTGTGAGAGATGATGCACTGAAGGTTCAAATAGAGAGGTTCAATGTCTATCTGTTGTATTATTTCCTGCCTTTGGGAGGTCGTTGGCATGCAGTAGTCTGCTAATTC